TAGTAATTCCATAAAGTTTGATCGGTGATGAAAAAAACGACATATATATACTCACTTATAGCATTAGATAGTCTACTTATTGATTGTTAATGGACAAAACCCAGTTGAAAACGTGTTCATTGTTATTGACAATCATCAAAACAAAACTGAATAATTTCAATCTCTTCCAGATAATTGATACACAATTAGAATCAATATAAATATGATCAGATAATTTTGTTTTATTTTAGCTTTTAAATTTGATTTAATTATAAATGAAGAAGCTTTATTCTAATGGATAATTTAATTAAATAAAGAAAAAATGAAAATTAAATTAGTCTAATGATTTCCAAGTTCATTAATCATATTTGATTTGAATAATTGGAATATAAAACAAGTTCATATTTTATAGAGTTGAGATCATGAGTCAATTGAAGTTTGACTACCAAGGAAAACCTGGAAGCACTGGACGGCCGTTTCGTCCTATTATGGGACTCCTCAGCAGTGCGCATCCACGACCCCGTACTCGCGAGATTCGAACCCAGGACCTACCAGCACTTAACTTTGTTCTATATTTTATGCCCTTAGTAATACGAATAACAATCGTTAAGTTTATAATACACTTAATTAGATAATAAATGAGAAAGGCTGTACTCTTTAGGGACTATTATCAGTTTGGGAATAAACGAAAATTAATTGCCATCTAGTAGGTATTCTTTTCTCACGATAAATCTGAAACCATAATCTTATATATAAAATGGAATTTAATTCAGAGAGTAAAAGTTATATATTTTCAGAACATTAGGTAAGAAATTAAGAGTTTGTTATTCCAAATTCAATTTATTTACTATAAAACATGAGAGCAGTCACACTTTCTACATCTCTTAGCTTTCAAATGAATACAAATAGGACAGAATATCCATCCAATGTTTCTTGATTTCTATTGGTACTTAAGATTATGTTGTTTTGTCATCAAGACCACTTTCAAACTTATAATATTATGAGGCAACTACTCCACGCCGCAAGTGGTGTTTATCTATTTTGGGTATGTTGAAGTCACCCACCAATAGTATTGAAAGATGGTTAATCAATATACCGAGTTAATTGTAGTTAAAATTGCGAAACACTATATGGCAACTGATTGACTAAAAATTTTAAAGTCGATGCACGACGGGTTTGTGGATCCACATGTATCGGGAGTAGCACGTTCATGGAAAAAAGCTTACATGAGCAGGGTCAGTCGGTAATAAAACAGATTATGATTTCTCATGAACTTACTAGTGTAATTATTCGAAAAGTCTAACTTTTAAATTAAATTCTTTTCAGAAACGTTCTTGGAAGCTTAATAAAATTTGGAAATAATTTTCATTACAAACTAATACCAATTAGAAGACTATTCATCCAGTGAATCGCCAACTATCGATACTATTAAAAAATGATTATGCTAAACTGATTGTTGATTTAATGTCAAAAAACACAGACATTTTTATTTCAACTGAGTCAATGAAAGGTAACTCGGTGTGAATTCATTTTGATGTCGTGTGAGCGTAAACACTGCTGTCAGGATTGCAGAGGAGAAAGAGATCAGGAAGAAGCGCTGGAAGTGGATTGAATATACATTGAGGAAAGCACCCAACTGAGTCACAAAGCAAGCCCTCACATGGAATCCTGAAGGCCAAAGGAAAAGAGGAAAACCAAAAAACACAATATGCTGAAAAATGGAAACAGATATAAGAATAGTGAACAACAGCTGGATAGAACTAGAAAGGAATGCCCAGGACAAAGTGGGTTGGAGAATGCTGGTAGGCGGCCTATTTTACACTGAGAATAACAGGCGTAAGCAAGTAAGTAAATAATAAGCGGAGCTGGTATGTAATGAGAAATACTTGTCCATTATTTCAATTAAATTATTTTACAACAATTGCTTGTTATTTGGTATAATGAAATTCAAATTATTCTGGGTTCTCATAATACTGAAAAATCGTAAGCTTTCAACTATATTAATATACTACATTTGACTGAGAATAATTTCTAGGACTGTAGAAATTATCTTATAAAAATAGATGAAAAAAATTTAGAAATTCATATGTATCATCATGATGTTAGTTACTATTGTAAACAAGAGATAAACTTTAACTCTAAATCAAATTGAAATTTCTATAAGAATTTTCGTCTAAATTAGAACGAATAGTTTCACAGTATTTTAGCGTCGAGTTGATGTAAGACATTAAATAAGAAGAAGAATATATTTGTAAAATCTCAACGAATGAATTTAAAGTAAATCGAACCATTCATCTGGCAATCTGGTTCAAGCTTTTTCAAGGGGATATCAATGAAATTTCATACAATGAAATTTCATTGAATAAAAAGGAATAAAAACTTGCTTGATTTTTTTTTGTTTTTTTTTGTTGTTGAAACATTTAATGTATTTTGAAAACAAAAAAATTATCGATTAATTTTTAATAAAAATAAAAATATAGAGTTGAGATCATGAGTCAATTGAAGCTAGACTACCATGGAAAACCTGGAAGCACTGGACAGCCGTTTCGTCCTATTATGGGACTCCTCAGCAGTGCGCGTCCACGAACCCAGGTCTGTTGTGAGATAGGAACTCACTGATGACATTGGTGAATGGTTGCTCAATTTCGTGAATCAGTTGAAGTTAGAAATTAACACCGTTGGATGCCAGCTCAGTGGTCTATCGGTTAAGGGCTTCGGCTCGAAACTGGTAGGTCCTGGGTTCGAATCCCGCGAGAGTGGGTTCGTGGACGCGCACTGCTGAGGAGTCCCATAATAGGACGAAACGGCTGTCCAGTGCTTCCAGGTTTTCCATGGTAGTCTAGCTTCAATTGACTCATGATCTCAACTCTATAAAATACTAAAATCTCCACAAAACCCCTTCTGATAAAAATAAAAATAATTCAAAACTACCATGTTTTCTAAAAAAATTTTGTTAGTTTTCTTCATAACTTTTGTTTCCCCCCCCCAAGTTGATTAATTCATTATAATAAATGAAATAAACATGTATGTGTATTTTCAGAATTGAATAAAAACTGTATAAATATTGAATCTATTCCAAAGGGAAAGGATTTATAAAATAGGAATTATCATTTTTCCCCTTTCAACTACTACTACTGTTGTTGTGGACAGGAACACGACTGGGGACAATCGAATGTATTTAAGCATAAATTACAGACTATCTCACTAAATTCTGATAACTAAACAGCAAACAGTTAATTTGCAAAATAACAATCAATTGTTTCAATCTTCACTGTTCCTTCTGCAAATATCAGTTCATCTTCTCTTATTCCACTGTTCATGTATTTTCATACCGATTGCGCTTCATTTCAGTTCTTTCCTTATCAGTCTTCTGCCAAAATACATTCTATGTCTGACCATCACCATATACTACTTATATAAATATAAGTAGACCACACAACACTACTACTACTATTACTACTAGTAAAAGTGTTCTAATATTTTAAGCCTACACTACACTTGTTTATTTACGTAAGTAACATACTAAAACATATTTGTATTTTTACTAATATACACTAACTAACAAAATAGTATGTTAGTTTATAATGATGGTTGTTATGATAGTATAGTCAGCTGTAAAAACATACTAATAATGTATGCAAAATGGTAAATGGAATTAGAATTGGTATTTCTAAACAATGATTTCCTTGTTAAGTTGCATCCTATCAATGATATATATATATATATATATAGTGTGTGTGCGAATTCCATTCAAATGTCAAGTCTTCATCAACAAGATTTAAAAACAAAGTATATAGTGTGAAATTTTCAGATTTCTAGTTCATTTTCCTTTAATGTTTGTACAATGTATTCTAACAAATATTCTATTCCACTTATATAATTTGGTATTTTAGGTATTAATTAGAAGAGATGAAAGTAACACTAACGTTCGAATTATAATTTTTTACACATTTTCGTCAAATTTAATGTTAAGTTTGAGTCCCAGAGTAAACATCAACTCTGGGATGCAGGTACATCCAGCAGACGAGTCTCAAATAGTAGTCCTAAATTTCACTACTAGCCACCACCCATCTCTACTTGCTAAGTTGCAAAATGAGAAATCGAATTAAATTTTCAGTTATTTCAATGAAACAGTTTATATAATGTTCGTGAGTTGGAGTATAAAATTTTTTAAAGCTATCTTCCAGTGACAGGTTTGATTTAAGGATGAATCAAATATTGTATAGTATTTTCTTGGATTCTACAGACCTGTACATGGAAATATTCTTATCGAAAACGTTTTTTTATTGAAATCGTGATTCAAGATAGTAATATTTAAATAGTTTTACCAGGTAGATATCAACTGTATGTTCAATTCATTTATGTGAAAATCAGTCATATTTTGGGTGTTAACATATCCGAGTTGCAGTTGGTTGATCACTGAATAATGACCGTTATCACGTCTATCTAGTCCTTCGGGTCCTGATTAATTCCTATCGATCAAGCTGCAATGTAGTCACCAGTCTCATTGACTCGACATCGGAGTATCAGTTTCCTCATGAGTACAGGAGACTATTGACGATGAGTGATAAGTAACACGAAATTAAGATCTAGGTTTTCATTGGATTACTCTTGATCACATAACATATCTAAATTAACATTGAGTTTTTTTCCCCTCAACACTATTTAAATGAAGAAACCTGGGAGTTCTTTTGTTACAGTGTCATAACCATTACATTAGAAAGGAATAAAGTCTACCTCAGTATAATTCACTTTTGAAGTCATTTGCTTTGGTTGTAACGCATCAACTATAAAAGTTATTTCTCACTAAAAGAGTAACAATTAACCGTGTATTTAATAAAAGAAATAGTTAGAAATTAGATTCCTACAGATATATTTGCCCATCCAAAAAACTTCGTTCACTACGATTAATTACGTTGAATGTATTACCAAACTGAAATATCAATAGTATTACATTCTGTATAAAAACCAATGATGTCATCAGTAAAATTATTTTGAATTAATAATGATTATCAACTTACGGTTTTCCATCCATAGGTCAATATTCGATCGATTAACCGCTTTATTAATAGTATTTTGATCTTTTTTATAATCTTGTTTATCTGATGTCAGATTTTCAGAACGATTAACAATCCATTGACGTGCACTTAAACCACGTCTATGTATTAAACATATGACCAACAAAATTGTTGCCATCAATAATATACTAAATATCACAACCAAACAAACAACAACAATTTCATTTCGTCGTCCATTTTGTACAGCCATAACGGAGCCAACAGTTAATTCATCTAAATCAAATGATAAATCTGATTGTCTGTGATTTTGATGAAAATTATCATTATTCGTTGCTGTTCCAGTTTGATAAACAAGTAGATCACCATTGGAATTTGATATTGGTTCGTTTAAACCATCAAATACGTTTATACGTATAGTTGGAGATAATGTACAGCGTTTGGATGAACCAGCTCCACTGTCACATGCTTCAACGACAAATCGATGCGTAGTTGTGTTGTTCAGAGGTCTTTGGAATAAAAGTGATCAATTTGAAAATATAAAACTGATTACTTTAAATCTTATGATCTGAAAAAAGTTTAATATTTACTATATTTAAATAGCATGTATGTACGAAAACAAGTATATAGGGAGGAGCAATCATGAGCAGCAAGTAAAGGTGGCTGAACACATACCTAAGTGACTACGAAAACAAACGAATTCTAATGGTCAAATAAAATTATTGGATAAACAAATATCTTCCTCCATTCCAAAACAATTGTTTGAGACCATTCATATGGTTGGTATCATGTCACCGTTTGCAGTTTTGTACAAAGGCTTTCAAGGGCATGTACTTAGGTTTAATAAGACCTTGGCTATACAAAAACAGAAACACTCTCTATGTGTTTAAAAACAATTTGTTCTTACCCTTAACCTACTTTGTTAATACCGATTATTTATCTAGCGTAGTTCTCACATTGTTGAGTGTACTTTATTATTATCTATGATTTTGCTTACATTTTAACTTGTCTATTTGACATTTTACTTTTCATATAAAATGTCTTGAAAAGTATATGTGTGACTAGATTGTTCGAAATGTATTGTGTAAATACATAACATAATTCTGATAACCTTCGTCTTCTCATTTCATTATAAAACATTCATCAGAAGGACTAAGTGTTTTAAATAGCATCAGCTGGTTTATATTAATCATCTATTAAATACCCACTTCTTCGAGTGACCATTATTCAAGTACCTGACTCCAGTAATAGATCACATTAACACAGTCTGATCATTTTTACTAAATATTAGTATTTTCACTTCCAAACTGTACTTCTAGTACCATCCAGTACTTCACTTTTATATGCTGTCACACTCTATAAATGTAGTGTTCTTGTCATTTAAACTACTATATCCTTTACTGATGAAGTTTTTTCTAAATAAAAGCAGTTTTTACCAATTACTTCTCATTTTAACTACGATTTATTCATTTATATCACTATCCGATTTGATTACCTGTTGAAACTGGCTAACTTGTAGCATTAAAGCATATAGATGCTATTGGCATTTTTATATGGAACAGTTAACTGACACCAACTGTGTTAACATCTAATTTGGAACAAAGAACGTTTCCTGAATTACTGAGTTGATTCTAGACCAAACTTCATCTCGTTATCAAGTAAAAACCATGAAATAATTTATGATTTTAACAATCTGGAACCTTATCAATAATGATGGTGTTTTTATCATCCAGTGTCTAAGTCTTCCTCTAAGGCAACATTTGAACCTAAGTTAATGGAGAATAACAGTTATTAAATCCATAGAATAAATACTACAGCACTAAAAGTAAAGTAGTATCCCTGACAGATATTACCGAAACAAACAATGAAAATTATATAATACCCAGCAGCCAATTGATTAATGTTTTAAGTATTTAACGTTAATAATTAATGATTTAGCGGTGCTTACAACTAAATGCCGTAATTTATAACCCCTTAATTTAGCTAATAGAACCTTGTCACTTTTGCCAGTAAAGTTCAACCTAATAATAAAGTTTGTGATTTTTGTAATTTGTTGACTCTTCACTTCTGTAGAGCCTTTCTAACATTTCTAAGAATAACATTAGTTCTCATTGTACTTAAATTGAGAAACTTGTTAGAAATATGAACACATTCACTTTCATGACTGACTGTTGTCCAGTAAGTAGTTTAAGATATTGACAAGACATCATTTAAACCTAATAGGACATGAGATCAACTCAAATATAGGCTAAAACAATAAACGTTACTATACCTGGCTATGAATAGCATTCCACTTGATTCATCAATAGCAAAATGTCCAGTTCCTGAGCCACCAGGTGGTCTAGGGACTTCTGATCGTATTTGATAAGTGATACGAGCATTTTCTCCTTCATCTGCATCAGTTGCCTCCATTGTAAGCAATTGTCTGCCTAGTGTTTCATGCAAACTAAGCTGAATAGCGGTTGATGTATTTGGTCGACGAAATATTGGAGGATTATCATTGATATCGGTAACAGCGATTACAACTGTAGCAGTAGATGATAACGATTTATGCACAGGTGTGTTGTATGCATTTTTAAATGTGAAATTATTATTACCATTATTTAACTTTGATGTGGACATCATACTGTTTATCTGACGTAATGATATAATCGGTGAAACTGGAGCAGAATCAATGGCGACAATTTCTATGGTGAAAAATGCTACTGATTCACGATCCAATGCACGTATAAGACGTATTTTACCAGTTAAACGATCAACTGCAAAATAATTTAATAAAGTTAGTGATTTTTCCGAATGTGAATAATTAATTTGTTTAAATGGTTTTATATCATTTCTTGACAATTCATTTGTTAAGTTTGAAATCATTGTCTTTTTTAATTCATCCATTATTTCAAGAGACTGTTTACCTGTTTTATTCCATTGCTTATCTTTAGTCAGTTCACCATTTGAAGAAATATTTGACTCAGTGTTTTCTACTGCTGATGATATTCTATCGTTTACAATTGATTTGTTTTCAGGTGCACGTGAATGTAATCTACGTGAAGTATATTGGTTTGACGATGATAATGCCCAGTCAGATATTTCATTTACCGGTTGATAGGAATGTGTAACCAACTGATAAGTTATTTTCCCTTTACTATCTGCGTCACGATCTATAGCTTCAACTTCACCAACTATTTCATGAATTCTCATATTCTCCGGTACGCTGAATGTGTACACTTCACGTGTGAATTGTGGAGGCCAGTCGTTTTCATCTAAAATGAAAACTTCAACTTGAGCTGTTCCAGTTAATGATGGTTCACCATTATCAATACATAATACCTTCAATCGATACACTCCATCATTTGGTGCTGTTTCTCGATCAAATACAGTTTTAACATATAAATCACCTGTTTGTGGATTTAATTCAAACATATGATTAATGTTATTAATAATCTGTGGGATATTGTCACTATCAGTAATACTATACTCTTTATTTTCGTATCTATTTACTGTATGTTCATCATTTTCTAAACGATAAGTAAGTAAAGAATTTACACCTTGGTCATTATCTACTGCAATTGTACGTCCAAGCCAAATTGGTTTATTACCAGGTAATTCTTGATTTTCAGGTATTTGAAATACAAAGTGACCATTATTTACAAATTCTGGTGGATTATCATTCAAATCAGATAAGTGTACATTAATTATTACATAAGCTGAATTATCTACACTATCTGTACATGTTAAAGTGATTGTTTGTGTTGGAGTTACTTCACGGTCTAAACGTGAATATGGAGATGATAGATCTGTTAACCGTGTTCCAGTTATTAAACGATAATCTTGTTTATTTTGCACTGTATTTGTCAGTGATCGTTGTAATGAGTTCTCATATAAAGGATTGCGTTTTGTTGGATATAACAATGAACTGCTTCCTGTTGAAGTCAACGTTGATGATACAGATGTCAATGATGTTGGTGATGAAGATGGATCATACTGTAACGTGAAGTTATCTGTCGGACCCAAACGACAGTGAATATGATCTTGTCCATGATGATCGGGGTCAAATACCTGAGAATTAGGATAAAATTTATGAACAACTAATCACGAAAATAAATCTTGTCATTATCAAAAATCTACTCAACATTATGTATGTATTTTGCAGAATCAAAAGAGTCTGACTATCACTAATGGGAAGATGACAATCAAAGTAACACTAATTTATAGCAAACATTCTCTGAAATTTACAATCTATTAAATTTATCTACAGGTTTCTCTGTCCATAACCAAAAAAGAAACAATGACACATGAATTCGTATACATGGAATTAAATTACCCTTATAATGATAAGAGTACTCATAATGGTTTTGCTTAAGGTTCATGGATTTAAGGTTAGGGTAAGGATCAAAGAAGTAGAGCTAGTGGTTTATAGTTAATATCAATATTTTGTTTGAGATTAAGGTTTTAAGGATATAGTTGATTGCTGTTACATGCAATGTAGATTGAAAGGAAATGAATATTTGATACATGTATGATCTTATGCAAAACTAGCTCTCTCTATTCTGTTTGACTTATTCATATATTATTAATTTTGCTCCCAAACAATTTTATGTTCCTCAAATATCATCCATTCTCTCGGCTTCAATTTCTAACTTATGTCTTAATAAAAATTTCCTTCACACTACAAAATATATGAATTAATTAAAAGCAAGAACAAAATTGGATTGGAGATTGCTGGTCGGCGGTCTATGATCCATTGGGGATAACAGACGTAAGTAACTAAGTAAGTAAGTAAGCAATACCAAAATTATCCTCTCTCTTTATACTTCTACATTCTAACTGGCAATTAAACATTCTAGCTTGAAAGAGAATAACGATTCAAAAGCAATGTTCAGTAATATACTACAAAATGTAAACAATATTACAAGTCACAAAATATTCTGAAGATAATATATTAAACGTTGAACATATCGGAACGAAAATATAGAAGCGAGGGTTCGTAACTCAGATGAATGATTTTGGTAGAGTTTCTTTTTCTGCGCTGAATGGTTCAATAGAGAAAATGAAACTCAGCCAAAAACATGGAAGTATTCTAGAGTTTAAAATGGTTGTGTAGTTCTAACAAGGTTATAAATTCATCCGGATTAGAAAGGATACTGAATTATATGGTAAAAACTAGACATTGTATTATAAGTCTATGGTTATAACGTGTAGACTGACAACAAACACACCAAGTAAAGTAATCATTTAGCGGTATGTACGAAAGGATCAAACCACGTTCACCTAGTTTCTGGGTCTTAAAATATAACCTTGTTCGTTGGCATTCAGAGTCGTTCGGTATACTGACAAAGGGTTGCGGAATTCATGATAATGAGTTATTATTTATTGCAACGTCTGTTAATCCAACTTATTGCCTTTGAAATCACCGATCAGTAAACCCACTAGTGTTAAAAAGTAATGATAATATTGATCATAAATATCATTTAACTGAGCGTAACAGAATAATAAAGATAATAAATACCTGAACATAAGCAATTACTGTCTCCGGCTGAGGGTTCTCATTTATCGTTGTTGTAAATTCACGCAACAGTTTCGCACCATCTGAGTTTTGTTTAATTTTATTCGACTGAAATGAATAGTGACTTGACGGTGAAGAATCATGAGGGGAATTCGACTGTAACAGCATAACATTTATCTGTGGAGTTTCATCATTTTCGTCAGCAAGCATTATTTCAACAATAGCTGTACCCGTTAATGTGTATGGTTCTGGTGCACTGTCCTTAGCTATTACCTGTATGCATAAATCAAGGCATAAACGAAAGGAGAGATGTAAATTCTGACTGAATTCCAAAAACAAAAACATTTATGAAACACAAATTGGTAGTCTATCTTCAGTTATCGAATACCCGGAAGTTGGTGGTGCTCAGTTTTGAGAATAGTTTTCATTTTTTAGTTGTTCTACAAAGTAATTAATTAATTAATAAATAAGGCTACAATCGATAGAAATTTTTTTCCAATTTGATTATTTGTAAAGAATCATTTATCACAGGATATAACTGTGGATATACGCTGCTGACAGATTACAGATTAGAATGAAATAACTTTGAAGTACTTTCTGGTTTTTAATTACTGTCCAAATGAACTCAAAAAACATATTCGTACTCTTTGGACGCAATAAAAATATTTATATTTTATATTTCCCATAAATCTAAACTTTGATTCATCTCATTGTCTAATCAATGACAGTCCATAGGATTAAAAACTGTTATTTTTTGTCTGATAAACTGGTAGTTTAAAAAAATTCACCAGTAAATACGTTTACTAGAACATCACCTGGTTTCTAATTTATAAGATTTATCTAAAAACACACATTATTTTTTCTTTCGTGGTTTACAATATGAACAATATGAAAAATTTACGGAAAACAAGAAGCAATTATCAAATATTTCATGTTAGTGCTGTTTCGTGATAATGCGGGACTCCTGAGAAACGTAAATTCATGTCAGATCTTGAGCCTAACTCAGAGACTTCAGTTATCGTGGCTAGAGCCTAACTTTCAAACTGATGATAGTCATCCAATGAGTCACATTTCTAAACTTAGACAATAATAAACAAAAACGTCTTATACTGATGTTGCTTTTCTTTCATGTACTTAAAAAGTATTTTGGGCTACTAAAGTGTTTTACATCATCATTAACATTTATCAAACTTAATTAAGGAAAATATTCATAGAAAAATTTGACTTATTTATTGATATTCACTTGGTATTGTTTGTTTGAATCTTCCCGCTGATGTTTAGGACTGCAGCTGGTCAGTCTCTAATTGGCATATATGCATAATATGCGTATTACTTCGATATAGCCTTAATTCACAAGCATTGTAAGTAAAGATGGATAGTGGCTAGCAGTGGAATCCAGGACGAGCGATACGTCCTGTTTGGAACTCATCAGCTGGATGTAACTGCATTTCAGAGTTGATGTTCACTCTGGGACTCAAACCCATTACCTTTCGCTCTAAACGCCATCGCGTTATCCACTTGGGCACTGAGTCGTGATAGCCACTTGCTTGTACAATGGGGTGAAGTTTAAATTCACTTGATATTGTTTATTTCAATCTTCCCATTGATGTTTTTTTATTCATAGTTTAAAGATATGTAGTATGGTTAGATTCAATGCTTGTGAGATGAAAACTGCTAACATTAAATGTCGGTTAATAGATGTATCAATAGGACTTCTTATCCATTTGATAAGCATTAGATTGTGAGACATTATAAAAAATAAACACTAAATTGTCTTTAAATTTGAAAATATGCCATTCTTAATAAAGTTCTCTTTGTAGGGTACATCAAGTGAAACGTAATAATTCATATTTGTTTAAAATAGTTCATTGTGTTTCCACTTGTTTTATTATTTAAACCACTCAATAATGTTTTTTTGAATAATGTAAAAAAAGCTTTTTATATGGTTTCCTTTTCACTGAACTACTTCATATTCTGTTATAAGTAGTATGTGATTCAATTTAACCACACACTTGTTTATACATTGAAAACACAATAAACGAATGAACGGAAATTATAACAGCTCACAATTGTAAGTAACTAACTAGTTTAAATTAGAAAATTAACCTAAAGTGGCTTATTAACTTTGTCATATTTCATTAATACTTTTGAAGTGCTCCATTGAAACCTATCATCAATGTTAATTTTCTAAATGTACACTTAGAGTTGTTTTGTATATGGATTATTCCAGAATTAATTTCTTAAATAATTTTTGTACAGATTTAAGCATAATTCAATTTTCATAGTTGAAAGCGTGAGCCAATTGAAGCTATATCACCAAGGAAAACCCGTCTTATCATGGGACTTCTCAGCAGTGCGCATCCGTGATTCCACGCTCACGAGATTCGAACCCAGGACCTACCAGTCTCACGCCATTGCACTTAATCGATAGACCACTGAGCCGGCATCCAACGGTGTTAATGTCTAACTTCAACTGATCCACGAATTTGAGCAACCGTTCACCATTTTTCTTAAGTGAGTTGATATCTCACAACAATAATTCAATTTGAAAAGAGTTTCCATCATCAATTAACATTGAACAGGAATCCATTATATCAGTAGATAGATTTTATGAACTCAGTTTGTGATTACTTAACAGTATGTATTTAATAATCGATACGAAACATTCAAATATTGTATTAGGCAGTCTGTCATTAGGTCGTTGGATTAGAAATTAACTGACTCATGATCTCAACTATATAAAATTACTAAAATCTCCACGAAAACCCCTTCTAATAATAATGATCATATGCTCACTAGTGAGTGACTCCATGATGTATTTCCTGGAGTTCTAATGGGAAGCAGTAACCAGTGGAGTTCACTAAGGTCTGTTGTGAGATGGAAATTCACTAAAGACAACGGTAGACGGTTGCTCAATTTTGTGGATTGGTTGAAGTTAGACACTAACACCGTTGGACGCCGGCTCAGTGGTCTGTAGGTTAAGTGCTCTGGCGCGAAACCGGTGGGTCCTGGGTTCGAATCTCGCGAGTGTGGGATCGTGGATGCGCACTGCTGAGGAGTCCCATAGTAGGACGAAACGGTCATCCAGTGCTTCCAGGTTTTCCATAGTGGTCTATATTCAATCGAATAATAATCACAACAGTATAGACTTACTAAAATATCCACAAAACCCCCTTCTGATAATTATGAATATCTTACACTTGCATTCTAATCTAAACAAATAAAGATTATTATCCAATGTCATTATGATATCTTTTTTAGCTTCGAAAATACTGATAATTCATTTTATTCAAATTCAACTTTTGAAACTTCATTTCAAAGACAATTATTAATAAACAATATTTCATTATTTATCTAATCAATTCTTTGGAGGCTTTGCAATTCGACATGAACTCATGTCATGAAATGATATCCAGTAGAAAACTACTAGAAATGACAACAGACTTGATAGTGTTTTTCTTGTTTTAGTTCATAATTTCTCATAAATCCACACTAACGACAAAGTGTAAGTTCTAAAGTGTTAACATCAAGTCTTGTTATGATCAATATTAGTTATTAAATATAGGTAATTAGATTTACGTTTTTATTTTGTAGCAAAAAAAACATTTATATTTTTGAAATAATTTTCAAAGGTTTAAGGACCATTAATCTAAAGTGTTCGTTGAGAATAAATAATAAAAAAAAACATTTTAGTTATGTGAAAACACTTGAAATCTAACAAAAATGTTTCTGCTTCTTTCCATCATTAAACTTGTCCACATAACTATGGACCATATACTACTTTGGTGTGGGTTGCTTATATCCACATAAGTAGTATATGGTGATTGTCATGCATAGTATGTATTTCAGTAGAAGATCGATAACGAAAAAAAAGTGAACGAAACGCAATTGGTATAAAAATGCATGAACAATAAAATCAAAGAAGATGGACTGATATTTACAGAAGGAACAGTAAAGATTGGGACAATCGATTATTCTTTTGCAAATTGACTGTTTACTGTATGGTTATCAGAATATAGTGACATAGTCTGTAATTTGTGCTTAGACATATTCCATGGTCCTCATCCGTATTCTGTTCACTACACTACTATATTGTAAATTATTTGTATTCATTAGTGTTGTGTTTTTTTTTTCAAAAAAGAGGAGAAAAGTCTCACTTTAAAATAAACATCGTTCGTTGTACGAAAAGTTTATTTAATTTACCAGGAAATGATTCTCAGAAGGGAAATAACAATTTTCTTTCCTATAAAAAGAGATATTTTATAATTAACACTTATTTCATATGATAGCATATATATGTATATATTCGATTGTCATCTATGGGTCTAGCATTTAGATAACGAAAAGTATAGAGAGTTTTGATAACAAAAAATGAAAGAAACAATGTTATATTCATTAATGAAAATAGATTGACTCAAGTTTCATGCTGATTATATTTACATAGAAATTGCGTGAAATAAACCTAAACTCTTTTCTATACGTTTTATTTATTTAAACATATAAACATTGATACAAGGTGTGATAACAAATATATACGTTACACAAATCCTTCAATGCGTGAATAGATTAGGTATGTTATTATAAACAAGAGGATTGTTTTTTTTTCTCCAAAATTATTCAAGTTTATTTATTACTAAGTAACGAAAAGTTTACCTGAATTAGTTTTTCGTTTATTCTAGTTCATTTAAAAATGTACCTAATATGTTACCGTGGTAGATTTTATGACTTGAAATATTATATTTGAAAGTAGCAAGCAGTTGAAAGCATGAGTCAATTGAAGGTAGACTACTATGAAAAACCTGGTTGCATTGGACAACCGTTTTGCCCTGTTGTTTTACTCCTCAGCAGAGCGCATCCACGATCCCGCGCCACAAGATTCGAACCCAGGACGTACCAGTCTCGCGCAAGAGCACTTATCCGATAGACCATTGAGCCGGTAGGTCCTGGATTTGAATCTCGTTAGGCGAGGTCGTGCATGCTCACTGCTGAGGAGTCCCACAATAGGACAAAACGACCGTCCATTACTACCAGGTTTTCCCTGGTGGTCTAGTTTCAATTGACTCACCCTTTCAGCTATGAAAATACTAAATCTCCACAAAAAAACCTCTTCTGAGTTACAAATTAGTAATTATTTCTTAGTACATTGATAAGTTAGTGAAAGAATGAAGTCTAGAAGTAAAAAAAAGTGAACATTTATTACCCAAATCGGTAATTACTTAAGATTAATGCATTTATCTAGGAGTACTTTTTTTGAATAATCTGAAATAAAAGAA